TAAAATACAAAATTTTTTGTCCTTCATTACCAAAATGTCACTGATTTATGTCAAATAACGCAGTTAATCTGTAGTGTATGAAATGTAAATTTGTACTCATTTACTCATACATGAGAAAATATCTTCATTAACTGTTTAGCTCAATACCGCAGGCAGTTGCAAGTTCATTTACAACTCCATTACATTTTGAAAATGAATGGCAAGAAGCTTGCCGTAAGCTACAGGATATTTTTGCCTTCTGCATAAGGAAAAGGATCTTATCAGCAATAATCTGAATTATGCTGGTCAAATACTGTTAATATTCAGAATAAATAATGTGCTAGCAGTGATACGAATAAACATTACGGTATTAGCTTACTGGCATTGTAGTAGGTTGGGCATCGGTGATGATTGCGCGTAAAATCTTTGTTTCAGCACCGTCGCTGCATTTTCATCTTCTACACAATGGCATATATCTTACCTGGTTCGGAGCAGTAGCCAAATGTCTGATTGAAGAGGTCGGTCCATTACTCAGCAATATTTTGCAACAATATGCCACTCCCAATTTACGACGAAACAATTGGCATCCATATTTGGCTTTCGCATCTAGCAGTGAAAGTTTTTTCAATTGTATAACGGTAGAAGTATCCAAGGTTAACATTAACACCACATGCTGAAAACATGAAAACTGAGGTATTCCTGATTGCGAACGACTGCTTCTTAATTCACAGGAAATGGCAAGAAAGAACGATGAGCAAAATATACGGTTTTAGTAAGTTGCAGAAACAATTTTGTGGCCTCCAGAATTCGAATAGACCGACAGGTCATTCTACATAGCATATTGACAAAAAAGTCAGTCATTACTCCAAGCGACTTCAGAGTTAGATAGAACGCAAAAAAGTTTTGCCATTTGCGCATTAGCAGCAGATGAAAAATAAAAGGCAAAATTTCAATCAAAGTAATTAAAGGTGGAACTATATTGTAAAAAAGTATTAATACAATTATTGCTTGGTGGATAAGCCAACGACGTTAGAAAAAACCAAAATTGACAACTCAGTTCCAAACTAGAAACCTTTCCTACAGATGCTAAGGACAGGCAGAAATCCTTGAGCATTGGTAGAATTGTATGATCCCGCTAACCTGAAACTCAAAAATTGTGACATCTGAAAATGACTGGATAAGAGAGCTGTGCTTATTCTCTTCAATTCTTTTGTCAAATCTAGCTTACTTCTTACTATGCAGGAAATTACTCATTACAGAAATTAATATTCGACAGGCCAATTATGCATTTACAAAAGAACGCTGTTACAACTATAAGTACTGCAATATTAACCTGATTTTGTCAAGTGCATAAACAGCTATTATTTACTCAACCTACCTGGGCCGGGCTGACGCTTTTCGAGAGAGTCTGTAGCTTAGATATCCAGAAGAGAAGTGGGGTACAGCCATTAATTGTTAAAGTGTAAAAATCACAGCTGGGATAACTTGAGCACATTTTGCGATTGCTTTCAGACAGTGGCATATCGAACAACTACAAATTGCTCAACCTACAGGGCAAAGATCCCGAGGACGGCCAAGAATCACCTAGAGCAAATGACTCTACGGACTCTGCCACAGATTCAACTTATTTTGTAATGAAGCTCAGACACTGAAATTGCATGGGGCACGTTAGAGACACCACCTCCGCGAGTCACGACTCAGTAGGATGAACAGTAATTGAAACTGATCTACTGACAAACAGGTATATAAAAATCGTTCTTCATATCATCTGTCAAGAACCTAACATAGAACGATAATGCAATTTTTAATGATAAGTTATGTGATAGTACGTAGTAATTAGTACACATGTACTGAGCCCCTGTAACAAGAGAAAAAAGAACAGAAAAGACGAAAATGAGGCCATATAACTCTAACGAAATAAACAGTGACAAAAAACGGGCGGAGTGCGTTCTATGCTGAACGGTTTCCACTGGAACGGCGACAATCATTGCTGGATGATCAACGCATAGCCAAGCTGGATGCTTTCCGTAACCGTCAGATTTCGACTCTTCAGCGACAACTGAAACACCCACCATGCTTGCTAATCAATCCATACAGAACAAAGACTTCTTGATTACCGTCATTGCCTCATTATTCGGTTGCATTTTAAGTTCAGACAACACTGAGATGCCGTTGGTCAATTTTAAGGAGTGGTACAGCAGCTCCTGATTGTCCACATTGCGCCGAGCGACCGTGAAGACGTTGTTCAACTGCAGCTTCGCACAAATGGCATCTGAACAAGAAACGACTTTAAAATCCGTAACGCCGATATTCAATCCCAACTAGGCAATTCATACCGGCAGACAAACCCTTCGTATTATTCAGGCTGTACTGCACTTCGTTTTGAGCGGGAATGTCTTTCCATGCTTGCAGGAACAAACGCTTGTCCATCTGGCCGTCCTCCGTGAAAAGCACGTGAATCGGAACCAAACAGGCGAAGTAGAACACATCGGCATCAACTTTGACAGCAATCTAAACGAGTATTCGAGAATTATCGCTTAAAGCTTCAGCAAACGCATTAAATGAAAATTCTGGTATAATTCAGCTTTTTCATCGTCAAAAGCGAATTGACAAATTTCATACAAAAACCAGGGTTTTAATAATTCTAAACCTAAAAAATTTAGTACCATGATCATAATAACCATACATTTAGCTCTGATCATTTCTGAATAAATTATGAAAATATGCGTCAATCCGCTACTTTCACAATCTAGTGAAACGTGACTGGTTCATGCAAACATATTCTGCGGCAACAGATGGCAACAGGATGTCGTTAACGTCTATAAGTAGATGAACTCGATCTTGGCGTCGATTACATTTTACACATACAATATATTTGTCAGTATTCAGGATAACTCTTCGTTGTTTAATTGACTTCATCTTACATAAAACTCAGCGTTTTAAATTAACTTTTTTTCTGTAAAATAATCATGCATTAAAAAAATGTTGTGTGCTCTCATGCATAAAGACCTTGACTACGACACCTTAAAAGATTATTTGGCAGTAAAACGAGGGTTTCCTAACCTCACATTCCGCAGTACTGAAATACAGTAGGAAATTACTTTTGCCCCGACGATAGCTAATGTAGTTAGAGTGAAACTTCCGCGGTTTTAGTAAAGACTACCAGCCGTCTCTTTCGTTGTGCTTAGAACCATTGAGGAAATAGTTTATTAAAGAAGAGACAGGAATGAAATGAGTTTCAGATATTAATTTTTTAAACGTAAGTGTCGAATTAAACGTTTCATGTTAAGTTAGACATTTTTAGTCTTGAACAAACCAGGTTGCGTCGTTAACCGTTAAAACGACCCCCAACTATCATAATAAGTTTGCTACACCTGAGGAATAATCTTGACTGCTCTCACGACTAGTACGTGTATATTAAAGGTGCCACATAAACAATTCATAATAAAAGTATGACAGAAATAGAACACTCAACAAAACCCAAACATAAGTACCTCCTAAGATGAACAGTTCTGTATGCCGAAATCTTACTTCAATCTAACACGGATACTGGCTCCTTATTTTGCTTAGCTTTGAGTCTACAACAAGTGAATTTTTCATATATAGGAATACGTGGATCGGCATAAGTTAAATATCGCTGTCCATTTTGGATAGAATTCGCAACAAGTATTGTCAAGTAGAAAGACAGTGTCCAAAACGACTAAATGTATATCTTCGAAACGAAAACCCAACAGCAACCTGAAAAGGCCAGCTAATGAGGCAATGGTAATGGTAATCAAAATCTCAAATCCCTTTACGCCTTATGGAACACCCATTTAAAAAAAATTTTTTATGGAAAGATTATGAAACCCAACGTGTAGTCGTTTAAAAAAATAAAATGTGAATTCTTTCCACAAGACAGTACAGGCATGAGCAGTAATAATGGATGTTTCCATTTTTAGTAGCATATAGCACACTCAGAGCAAATCGA